CCGAAGATTAGAATGAGGAAGAGGAAGAGAGAGAGAGCAAGAAGAGAGGAAGAAAGAGAGTGAGAGCGTAAAGGAGAGGGAGGTAAGAAGAGAGAGAGAGAGAAAAAAGAGAAACGAGAGAATTTAAGAAAGAGAGCGAGAGGGCCAGAGGGGATGTGTGAGGAGGTGTGCGCGTAAGACTGATGGAAGTAGAGAGAGCGGCTAACATTTTAGTGCGGGCTAGATAATTGTGAGTTATAGGGAATGGGGATCGGGGAAGTTGTTGGGCCGAGTAATTAAAAGCATAAACGGAGACTGATCGCACGTGCATCATGAGGTAGAGGTTGATGGAGCAAGAGAGGAGAGGAGACAGAGACGAGAGAGAGACAGAGAGAGAGAGAGAGACAGACAGAGAGAGAGAGAGAGATGAGAGGGAGGAGAGAGAGAGCAGGAGGAGAGAGAGAGAGAGAGGAGACAGACAGAGAGAGAGGAGAGAGAGAGAGAGAGAGAGAGAGAGAGAGATGAGAGAGAGATTAGAGAGAGAGAGGAGAGAGAGAGAGAGAGAGAGAGAGAGAGGAGAGAGAGAAAGAAAGACACAGAGAGAGAGACAGACAGGAGAGAGAGAGAAGAGGCGAGTGAAGGGGGAAGAGATGGGAGAAGTGCGCAACAGAGCAGACGATAGAGAGGGGGAGAGAGGGGGAGAGAGGGGGCGGCGAAGGCGAAAGCAATGTATGAGTAAACAGAGCTATGCAGTCTGCATAGGCTGACGTCTGAGTCAGCGACTATAAACTGATATAGACACACTGATGCAGCATGCTCCGTTTGAGGTCCGTTTTGCCAAAGGTTTAACTCATTTTTGTCGAGTCCCCGAACGTGACTGCACGAGAGTTAAGTGAGTTGGATGAGATGCTGTCCAAAAGTTCAAATAGTAATAAACCTCTTTTAGGGCCGCCGAGCATGTGTGTCTATGAGAGCAAGTAGATTCCTCGATACACACTGATTCGTGATTACTGCGTTGTGTGGCGTGTGCGTGCGGCCATGTGGCCTGTATGCGTGCGTACGTGCGTGTGTGGGTGCGTGTGCGCGAGTGTGCGTGGCGCATGTGCCTTGTAATGCGTGCGTACGTGCGTGTGTGTGTGTGTGCGTGTGTGTGCGTATGCGTGCGCATTGTGGCCCGCTGTATGCGTGCGTACGTGCGTGTGTGTTGTGTGCGCCGTGTGTGGTGTAGCGCGTGTGGCGTGCGCCCGTGGCCCCTGTAAGCGTGGCGTGGCGTGCGTGCGTATGTTCGGTTGCGCAATGTAAATTGCCTGTATGTATGCGTGCGTGCGCTGCGTGCGTGCGTGCGTGCGTTGCGTGCTGCGTGCGTGCGTTGTCGTGTAAGTTCCGCAGAGTCTGTGTTGCTAGTGACCGAATATTACTTCGCTCCTCCTTCACAACACTCTCGCTCCCTGCTTTTTTACCCGCAATCTTCCTTTACCCTACTTTAAGATAACAGCGCGCACTGCTTGTTGCCCCGCTGTAGGTAGGCGAGTTAGGTGTCTTCCCTCTCTTACGCTACTCTGGTTCCAAACTTCTCTCTCTCACACAGAGAGAGCCGCAGCGTGCGTGCGTGCGCAACAGAGAGAGCGCCGCAGCGGCGTGCGTGGGCGCAACGAGACTAGTTTTAGCCGGGTGCGTCTGCTCCTGCGCGAGTCTTCTGGGCGACGTGCTCACAATGTGTGACTAGGCGGAACTTGGCAAGCCGATGTTTAAGTTGTCGCTGTGTCGCTGATTCTGTGGCTGTTAAAGCACGCTGGGGCGCACAGCTATGGTGTGTGCGCTGCCTGCCTGCCTGCTGACTAGATGCCTGCCGTGCATGTCTGCCCTGCGTGGCCTGCCTGCGCTGCCTGCCTGCTGGCCCGCTATTCACCGCCTTAACCCTACCAGCTGGCTGGCTGCTGCTGCTGCTGCTGCTGCTGCTGGCTGCTGGCTGCTGCCTGCTGCAGAGTAAACGCTATGCCAAGAGGTCGAAGGATGTTGGCTACGAGTGGAAACGAAAGCGAATATGTGGATGTGCCCTGTAAGATAGGGGGAGAGAGTAACAGACAGACAGAGAGAGAGAGAGCTCTGACAGAGAGAGAGAGAGAGAGAGAGTTAATTGAAGATAGTAAGAGAGGAGAGAGAGAGAGAGAGAAGAGCAGAGAGAGAGGGAGAGAGAGAGAGGAGAGAGAGAGAGAAGAGAAGAGAGAGAGAGAGACGAGGTAATTGAAGATAGTAAGAGTAGAGAGAGAGAGAGAGAGAGAGAGAGAGAGAGAGATGAGAGATGAGAGAGAGAGAGGTTAATTGAGATGTAAGAGAGAGAGACGAGAGATAGAGAGTGCGTGGGAAAGAAGAACGAGAGATGAAGGGGAGATGGAGAGAGTGTGTGATGAGAAAGAGAAGAGAGTGTGTGCGTGAGGAGAGAGAGAGCGAGACGAGAGAGAATTGGAGCGAGAAAGAGAGAGCGCCGAGAAGAGGGATGTGTGTGTGAGAGCAGAAAAGAAGAGTGTGTGTGTGTGTGAGAGAGAGAGAGAGAGAGAGAGGTAGAGAGAGAAAGCAAGAGAGAGAGAGAGAGAGGAGAGAGGAGAAAGAAGAGAGAGAGAAAGAGAGAGAGAGAGAGAGAGAGAGAGAGAGAGAGAGGGAGAGAGAGAGAGAGAGAGAGGAGAGAGAGAGAGAGAGTGTGTGTGTGGGTGTGTTGGAGAGAGAGAAAGAGGCGAGAGTGTGTGTGTGGAGAAAGAGAGAGAGAGAGAGCGAGAGAGGAGAGAGAGAGAGAGAAAGAGAGAAGAGAGAGTAGAGAGAAATAGAGAGAGAGACGAGAGAGATAGAGAGAAATAGAGAGAGAGAGAGAGAGAGAAGAGGTGAGAGAAGAAGAGAGAGAGAGAGGCAGGAGAAGAGAGAAGAGAAAGAGAGAGAGAGATGAGAGACGAGAGAGAGTAGCAGAAATACCGAGAAGAGAGAGAGAGAGACGAGAGGACGAGAGAGAGAGCGGAGACGAGAGAGAGAGAGAAGAAGAAGAAAAACGAGCGGTAGATAAGAACTGCGGTGGGGTAGTAATAAGTATACGGTCGGTAACAACTAACAGAACTACTTTATGACGGCGTCCTCACATCGGCGAGCTGTTAGATGTCACGCCGCCAGCTTCCTGTATACTGAGCTATATATATTATAACATTATCATTAGCTTTATAAGGCTTATGCAATAATTTTTAAACCAGGGGCGCGCTCAGTGGGGCTTCCTCTCACAGATAATTATTGGCGCGATCGCCACGACGCCTGGTGAGCGGTCAGTGGTACTGTTGAGAGATTTCACGCGAATTAACAGGCCAATCGTAATAATAATATGAAATATATTATGAAGGTTAATATAATAATATCATGATTATATAATAATATACTAATTAAATAATAATCTATTGTTATTCACGCTCGCTGGTAATGATTGTAATATCGGATTGATCTCTCTCTCTCTCTCTCTCTCTCTCTCTCTCTCTCTGTCTCTCTCTCTCTCTCTGTCTCTCTCTCTCTCTGTCTCTCTCTCTCTCTCTCTCCATCAACCTCTACCTCTGATGCTGCATCAGTCTCCGTTTATGCGTTTTAATTACTCGGCCAACAACTCCCCATCCATTCCCTATACTCACTAATTATGCTAGCCGCACTAATAATGCTAGCCGCTCTCTCTACTTCCATCAGTCTTACGCGCACACCTCCTCACACATCCCCCTCTCTGGCCCTCTCGCTCTCTTTCTTTTCTCTCTTTTCTCTTTTCTCTCTCTCTCTCTCTCTTTCTTTCTCTACCTCCCTCTCTCTTTAACGCTCTCACTCTCTTTCTTCCTCTCTTTCTTGCTCTCTCTCTCTTCCTCTTCCTCATTCTATCGCTTCTTCTCCCCTCTCTTTCTCTATCTCCCCCTCTCTCCCTCGCTCGCTGTCGCTCTCTAGCCGCGTGTCAGTTATGGAGATGTAAAGCAACTTTTTACGTCTCAGACAGGAAACGCCCAGCCCAGCATCATTTACAACCAGATACACACGCCATCGTCACTAATTAAACGCAACTCTTTCCGCACTCAGTCTGCACGCGCAGCCGACGATTGCGTGGATCGAGCTACGAATGGCTGGCGCGACCAAGCACGAGTATAACTAAGACGAGAGTGAGAGAGCGTCGCCGCGGTACTTACATATCGTACATGTCCACCTTTACCTGAGTAGCTACCATTGCTGCCTTTAAGTGCACCTGCGTATGCAAAAAAAAAACACATGACCGATTAGTAGTGGGTAACGTGATGCTAGGGGGGAACATACAGCCAAATGATGCTGAGCATGGCTATCAGAACAGACGTTGGTATCAGAACAGACATTGGTATCAATAAAGACGTTGGTAGCAGGACAGACGTTGGTATCAACACAGACGTTGGTAGCAGGACAGACGTTGGTAGCAGGACAGACGTTGGTAGCAGGGCAGACGTTGGTAGCAGGACAGACGTTGGTAGCAGGACAGACGTTGGTAGCAGGACGGACGTTGGTAGCAGGACAGACGTTGGTAGCAGGGCAGACGTTGGTAGCAGGACAGACGTTGGTAGCAGGGCAGACGTTGGTAGCAGGACAGACGTTGGTAGCAGGGCAGACGTTGGTAGCAGAGCAGACGTTGGTAGCAGGACGGACGTTGGTAGCAGGACGCACGTTGGTATCAACACAGACGTTGGTAGCAGGACAGACGTTGGTAGCAGGGCAGACGTTG